CGTGCCCACCCTGGTCCTGAAGGAGCCTCAGCCCGGGAGGGGCGCGGGGATCCCAGATGTTCAGTACCTCCCTGGGAGCGCAGCAGGGGCACGCCGGCCTCTCTAGAGAAGGGAAGGGGGTTGAAGCGTCAGGTTAGTGATGTATGTTAAATCTGCTTTTTCTGGTGCTTATTTCCGTATTTTCCACTAAAAGTGAACAGCATACTCAGCTTGTTTGATGCACTTTCTGATGTTAGCAAAAGGACGGCACTTTTCAAAATCACAAGGGGTGCCCAGGAAGCGTTCAAGCTCTTCCTTCCGAAGCAAATAAGGATGTAGGCAAGATCACTCCTTTAGCAGGGGCATTCAGGATACTTAATAAACCAGAGCTCGCTCTCAGTTAAGTCCTCCAGCTACTGCTGAAAATCCTACATCAGTTGTGGCTGTGAAGGAAAAGACGCCACAGAACACCCAGGCAAAGGGAAAGCTCCCAGGGGAACGGTGCAGAAAAAAGAAGAGATGGCAGGCAGGAGGAGCTGGATTACACTGGGAACAAGACAGACCTCCGTTAGTGCAGGCAGAAAAGGGAAAAAGAAGAGAAGAGTTGTTCCATTTTTGAGAGAGGCAGCAGATAGAGGAGACTGAATCGTACTACCCAGTCACAAGAACAAAAAGTCCTACCACGATGAATAAAAGTAGACTGTTTCTACAAGCTCTCACACAACATAAAGCTGGGGTAGAAGCACCTACCTTACAGGTAAACCAATTCTCAACAACACAACTGTGGGAAAGAATAGCCAGTATGCACTAGAAACCACAGTTACTTAAGAGAGGTTTCTCACCTTTCCAAACAGAAGAATTACCCACCTTCCTTCAAAGACACTCAAATACTTTGTGGAATAGTTTTTGTGGTTGCTGCTCACAACAAAAAAACCTATGGCTTAGCTCAGAAAGCAGAGTAACAGCAGCAAAGAGAACAGCTAAATAGAACAGACAGATAAGATTACGTTGGCTACCTCAAAAGCACACCTACTGCAGACCATAGACTAAATCTCTGGATCTAAGTCCCTGCTAGGCTGCTCTGTCAGTCAAGAAAGGTTAAAGATTTTCAAAATGCAAGTTAGGTTACCTTTGTGGTAATACAAATTGTGTATAGACTTAATGAAAGATCAAAATGCTCTGTGATTCTTATTAGGAAATGAAGTTATTTCCATGAACATGACAAACCACTGCAGCCAATGAATTGCTCTACAATTAAAGGAAAAGCCCAGAGAAAATCAGAACCAGTTGTCCGCAGTGTACCTGTAAGTACACTGATACCTGCTACAAATAGAGGCACACTTGCAGGGCATGGGTGGAAGGTAGCAACAGCTCCATATAATACAAAAATACATTTGCTGATACAGTATTTCCGTGGTTCAGGAATCCTAAGCACTTGGTGAGGATCACAACTACAATGCAGAACAAAAGTACAAAGACCAACATGACAAATAAAAAATTACGATGCTGGAGAAAAATCACAGAAGACAAAATATAACACTTTATTAGTGTTCCATTTCCATTTAATGCACT